GGATCTAAAAAGTATATGTGTAGTTTAATCATGAGTTGCAAATTCAAATACCCGTAGAGGCCAGGTGTTCAATAAAGGGTGAAATGGCTCAGTGGAATTAGTAGGGAATGCTGGAGACTGTCGCGAGGTGGAGGGTCCATATAACCTTCAAAGTAAAATTAAAACACTGTGAGTGATTTGTGGCCTATTGGCTATCAGTTTGTGGTACCTAGTCTAAATTAAGGAAAAAAATTTTTAAAAAATTACATATAACTAAATAGAGGTTTAATTTACTGAAGAGACTATAAATAGAATTATACTTCATTTATCATGTTACTTAGTAATCATGTATACTACGTTTTCTAGATAATTTGATGATAACTCTTTTAAGTACCAATATTTTTGAAATTTTAACTTTTTTCTCCTGAACATTTCATTTTGAAAGATTTCAGACCTGTAGAAAAGTTGAAAGAATAGTACAATAAACATATATATATATCCTTAACTTAGATTAACTGATAGTTAACATTTTACCATATTTTCTCTCTCTCTCTCTCTCTCTCTCTCTCTCTCTCTCTCTCTCTCTGTCTGTCTCTCTGTCTCTCTGTCTCTCTCTCTCTCTCACACACACACACCCATTTGAAAGTATACAACATGCATTATGGCACTTTATTCCTAAATATGTCAACACATATCACCTAAGAACAAGGACGTTTCTGCATAAATAGTAAATAAGTACAGACATGTACACAAAAATACTCATTATCACTCTTAAGAAATTTGTAACTGCAATAAATTTTAATATTATTCAGTTTTACCCAACTTTTCCAACAGTGTTCTTTTTAGCATTTAAAAAAAAATTAGGATCCAATCAAATATTGTCTTTAATCTAGACCTATTCTATCTTTCGTGGCACTGATGCTTTCAGGAGTCCAGGCCCGTTTCATAGAATGTCCACAAGTTTGATTTGCCTGATTGTTTCTGTATAATTAGGTTCAGGTTAAACATTTTGGACAAGAGTATTCTATAGGTGTTGTGAACTCAGAGCAGCATATCAGGAGGCCCAGTTACCAGTTTGTCCTTTTGCTGGTGATTTTATTAGTGTGATTATTTGGGGAAGATGGTGTTGGCCAGACTTCTCCCAGTGAAGACGTATTTCCTTTTGTGAGTGATCTGTGGAGTGGTTTGAAACTTCACGAATATTGTTTCCCATCAAGCTTTCACCTGAAAGTTAACATCCATTGAGCGTTTACTGAGTCAGTTATTACCTTGGTAGTCACAAAATAGTGATTTTCTGGTTCCATCATTTCCTCTACGTTAGCTGGCATTGTTTTATAAAGAAAGTCTAGTCTCATCCTCCCAGCCTTAGCCCCAGCCTCTTTCTTGAGTTCAGTGTGAACTCACGGGTTATGTTTGTATTCGGTGTGCTGTATTCCATTATTATCATGATTCACGTTGATGCCCAAATTGTTCCCAGTTTTGCTGGACCTCTCAACTGCTGGATGTGAGATGTGTTTTCAGCATTTCCCACTCAAGGTATGACTTTTTTTCTGGCGGTGGCAGTATCTGTGTCCCACCACCTCTAGGTTCTCCCTCCTTCTCTCTTCTTTTCCTCCCAGTTGCCACTTGACTTTCTGCTCCAGCATAGGTCCTGAAGCTTCATCTGCATTTGATATTTCTTTCTCCTTTTACATATAAGGTTATGGTAATCTCCATTTCTCAGTGCTTTAGATGTAGGATATAGGTGGTGTTATTTGCTTAATTTATTGATCTCTGATTTTTTGGATAATGTTTGGTGTGATTAGAATTTTGGCGGCTACAGTTATTCTGTATGAAACAAATTCCTCGATTTTAACTGTTTTTATGGCTAAGATACAAAATGTCTGATTTTCAAATGAAGTTTTCATTTAAACCTGGTGACTCGTGGTAATCAATAAGCAAACTTGGGTAAGCCTTTGGTACCTTTCGAAGGATGTTATGTCATTTGTCCCTACTCTCAGTAGCCTCTAGCTGACATGCTCTTTTCGGATCCTTGAGTTTCTCTGCTTTTCTATTCCCTCTTTTCTATAGACTTTCTCTGTCCTCCAGCAGACCAACATCAGTCATTTCCACATACCCGCCATTGACAATGCATTGCTTACTAAACCCTGTCCACTTTATTCTCTACTGTGAATAGAGAATTGGGAATTTAGGTAACACATCTTGTTAGACTCGAGTATGATGTTAGAGTAAATAGGACCAAGCGAAAGCCTGAAGGCCTCTTGGAGCTTTATTTAGAGCTTGAATTTTCTCAGAATGTCTGCTTGCTTATTAAATGGCCATTCTGCTTTATTTCCAATTCTTTAGTATGTTCTAGTTTGGACAATTAAGCTACTGGTAAATAGTGTAAAAGATAATGTTTTATGTATTGATAATGAGGGAAGCAGTGCAGTATTAAGAGCAAAGGTGTCTCTGGAATCAGATCCTGTAGAATCAAATCTGGTTCTGCTGCTTATTGGCTCTGTAACTTCAAGTAGTTGCTTAACCTCTTTGCACTGTCATTTCTTACCTATAAAAGTGAAGATAATAGTATCTTCTTAATAGATTTCGTGAAAGTTAAAAAAGAATACATAAGTGTAGAACAGTACCTTGGTCTTGATAAAGAATTGCTCTTACAGTTACTGTATTAATAAGGATGTATGGATTCTTACTCTGCACAAGGAGCAATGATCAGCTGTTAGATAGACTAGGTCATGAGATCTTTAGGATAATCTATTTGTGACCTACCCTCCACTTACCACCCACTCTCCTCAACCCATCTTGAAATTAAAATATTTGTTAAACCTTTAAGCTTTCCATTGAGAGCATAAACTATTTTATTTTATTTTTTTAGCTTACTCATTATTTAGAGGTATGGAAAAGGGATAGTTATAGCTAAGTGCCTGAGTGATATTAATTTCAAAGATTCTTAAAAACGCTTTTTTGGTACTCTAGAGATACGCAGCTTGCGATGCAATTACACTGTCATGGAATCGTGTGACCACTAGAGGTCACATTGTACTTTATATTATTTAAAAATCTTTTTCTTGCTAGTGCCTGTGGAGCTTACTTCAAAGAAAAAGTGAACTAGGAAAAGTCCATTATTGCTTCCTGCAAAAATATAGCTTGGAAAAAAAAAAACCACACTGGACTATTACAGGAACCATCATAATATGTCATGGATTTAGATTTGGCAGTTTATTACTCTGTTGGTTAGAAAATCAGTTTGTATTATTGAAGTTAACAATGAGATCTTAATACCCAAGTTAGAAATAGAAACTTCTTACTCTTGCCACAGAATAATTTGAATTTCTTGAAACTACGTCTGAATGATTACATGTAGGTGTAGAGTCATATGAATATTTTTCTCACATTTGTTTTTATTAATAAGAGTATAGATTTGGAGTACTACCTACTCAAAGAGTGGCCTGCACAGGTTACTTAAATTCTCTGGACTTTCAATTTCTAAATATGTAAAATGTGAATAATAGCAGTAACAGTATTATGGTAAATCTCAACATTTAAGTGAAAGTTCTGTGCAAATGATTATATCTACACAAATGGTAAAGTGGGTTATCAGATAATTGCTATTGATTTGGGCCCACTAAGGCACATTATGGGAAAGATTTTCGGAACCGCTAAATGTCTCTCCTCTTTTCTGATAGAATAGGTGGTGAGTTTATATTTACTTTTCTGAAGTTGCCATTGTGACTAATTAATAGTGGATATATTTTAAATGGCTACCTTTAAAATATTTTATTTTATAAAATGTCCCAAATGATAACTTGTAGCTGTGTGGAAAGTTCATGTATGTGGGATTCATTCCACTGTGATGCTTGATGTTACTGTTTTTATTTAGTCACAGCCTTAAGTGTGGAACTGCTTTCTGATTAAAAAAAAAAATGAGTACTGATTTTTGGCAGCTTCACATTTTTGCATGGTTTTGCAGAACTAATGGGTTTGAATTTAGGCATTGCTGTAGTCTGCTTCTACTTATAATTTTGACAATATCAGAGTTGAGGTGATAGATACTAACATAACCATGAGATGGACCAAATAATTATGGTGTTACATTGATGCTCAAAATGTTTGCGTTATGTATCAGCTGCAAATTACGAAAGTAATCTTAACTCTTGTCTTTATAGCCATGCAGCGAGGGCTTGATTGGCATTTTTAGCATTTAAAGTGCAAACAATGTTTTAACTTATATGCAGAAATAATTGTGAGCATAAGTAGAACACTGTTGCTCAAACACAGGAAGCAAATATATATATATATGATATATATATATAATAGATGGTCATCTCTTCTTCACTGTAAATATTTGATTTTCACTACTGTCCCTCCCACCTTCCTGTTGTCTTAACTAGTGCTGATGGCTCCAGAGCTCAAATGTGTGTCTTCCTGACCTGGGTCTGCCCCACTCTAAAGCTTTACATTAACCACACTATTGCTTTTTAAACTCTTTTGTCTTTATAACCTAAATGTTTTCTAGTAAGAACATATTATATAGATTTTTTTCTCATTTTATGAATTTTATTGTTAAGAATCGCCACTAAATACATCTCGAGTGGAAACCATCATGTTAGATTCCAAGCTTGAGTCTCTGCTCTGCCATTTATTTTTCTATGACTTTGGTGACATTGGTTAATGAAATCCAGCGAATTTCAGATGTACAATTCAACTGAAGGCATATATATATTGTATTGTGTGTTCACCACCCATAGTTAAATTTCTTTCTGCCACCACATATTTGACCCCTTTTACCCCATCGACCTCCCCGCTACCCCCACCTTCTGGTAACCACTTGTCTATAGTCCATGTCCATTAGTCTGTTTGTTTGGAGGACAGTCATTTTAATATACAGTTGGTGAATGCATAATATATTTCATATCTAGCCTATGAATTTTGGAAACGTTATGGTTTTGGGGGAGGGCGATTGTTATTGTTATTTTTTTTAGTGGAATGGCTGTGTTTGAAATTTTAATTTTTTTCCACTATAGATAACAGACAAGAGAGTATCCAGAAAACATGCCATTCTTGAGGTGGTGGGTGGTCAACTTCGAATCAAACCGGTAAATATGTTAATGATTTATTTTAACTTTTTGTCTCTCACCTTTTTCCAGCTCCTGATTAGAGGGGCTTATTTTCTGAGGTTATAGAAATGTGAATTAATGTGAAAACGTATCCTTCTTATTGCTAGAGGATGATTGGGAGATAAAGATCAAACTATTTAAACTACCTGTCTTTCCATAAGGCAGTGTTATATTTATATAGTTAGAATTTCAGTGAAAGATGACTGCCAGTTCATGTATACAATATGATTTTGTTCATGATTGGATATTACAAATAAGATCCTATAAAAAGCCTATAACTTTGTAATGGCTATTTTTCTGGGGTAGTGACTAAAGTCATTTAAGTGTTATAGAGTTGTATTTTAATAGATTTCTATACTTCTGTGTGTAGAGTTGAATATTTCTAAAATATAGACCTTGTTCAACTTGAGGATTTTAAAAATAATTTTAATTTGAAAGTTCCTGTTAAGGGCCAGAATGTCATTTGCTCTCTTTGTAGTTTAAGCACTTATGTATTGTAGGGACATCAGTGTCTGAGAATATGCTATGTGATTATACCTTTTCATTTGCAGAATCTAGTGTGTAAGAGAATGAAATATGTATATGAGGGTCCATTTATTTTGGACTCGATACTGTGGTGGTAAAATTATTATGGAATGAAATGCATTAATTTTCAACATTTTAAAACCTGTAGGTATTTTCATCTTGTATGTACAACTTCTTGTTGTATTATTAGTTCTTTCTTTTATGTAGATAGTACTTGTATTATCCTGTGTAGAACAGTTTCCAAATTTGAGATGTATGCCTTTTAATTCTAGTATTGGGAAAATTTTTTACTAAAGCTGAATTCATACCATCTCAGCCTTCAGTAAATACTTTTTAAAAAGGTTTGTATCTCATACTGCATTGTCTTAGTGTCTTGAAAAGTACTAATATCTGTAGTCAGCACTCCTGTGGGAGTCTCTTTACCATCAGTTATTCATCTCTGAATCCTCTTCAACAATCTTATTTTTCATAATGAGACTAGACCGTAGTAAGCTCATCGATCATAGGAACACTGATGCATCTTCAGATCTCTAGTATCTAGTTTAATATCTGGCACATAGTAGGTACTTAATTAATATTTGTTGAATGCATGAGTAAATGCTGCAGTGAGAACTGTTTGTGACATTTCTAGGAGTGGGGATATCATAGATTATTACAAAATTATTATATTTTCCAATACGTAATTGCTAACACCTTTTCAATGAATAACTATGGCCTAAAATAAAGAAGTTTGATTTCATTGTTACTGAAGCACATGAAGGTAAAGAATATAGGGATCCCTAAATTTTTATCCTGCCTTTTCTGATTGAGCATATCATTAGTTTATATTTACTTTTTTTCAAAATAGCAGTTATGGCAAATAATACACCTAGCTCCTTAAGTGGAAGACTCATGACTTAATACTTCCTTTCTACATTATTTAGATTTACTGCTATGTAATTCATGTTAATGAAGTGAAGAGCTTACAGTGAGTACTTAATTTTTTGACAAGTATAACATTTAAGTAGTCCTTGTTTTCTAGTTATTTTTTAGACCAAAGCAGAGCATGTCAGCTCCTGCAATAGGTTTATAGACTTTTCTAGATTTGTATTGTTAGTATTCAGATCCTGTGTGTTTGCAGTTATCACAGAAAATAGTTATAAACTCTGGGTGGGAGCAAATGATATAGTCGCTTTGGGAAATAACTTGACATTATTTCCTAAAGATGAAGGCATGCATTCCCTACGAGACAGACTAAACGCACACCCCCAAGAAATATGTACAAGAATATGAAATGCAAAATTGTTTATATAATAGCAAAAAACTAAAAGCAAAATAAATTTTCATCAACAGTGGAATTGATAAATATATTGTGACGTGTTTATTTAATGAAATATACTACAATAGTGAAGATAAATTATAGTGAAAGCATGAAAAAACATGGCTTAAAATCAGAAACATAATACTGAATGATGCAAGAAAGCAGTGGAAGAATACATACAATCTGGATAGTATATTCAGGGTTATAAACATGAGTGGTGAAACCATAAAGAAAAGGAAGTGATAAACACAAAAATCAGGGTAATGATTACCTCTGAGGGGACTGAGAAGAGAATGGGATAGAGGAAGACTCACAGGTGACATCAAAGGTAATGGTAATATTCTTTTCCTTAAATTGGGTGGAGGGTTCATATATAATATCTGACATGTATTATGTCTTACAAAAATTATTATAGAACATTTATGACATGAAAAAGTGTACTGCAGTTACTTCTGTACACAGTGTACAGCAGTTACTTCTGTAATGCCCAATTACCAAATGTTGGAAGAAATGGAAAGTATATTTTCTTTTAAGGAAACATACAACCCTCGTACTAGAATTTGTATGCTGTTTTAGAAAATATTTAATTAGGTTTTGAATTTTATTTCAATAATTATTACATTTACATTATACTAGTTGAAGGAAAGCTGCTTGTTGGGGTTGGTATATATACAGGTCTTTTGCTCCTTTTAATGCTTGATTTCTTGTTTATATTACTATAGTTTCAATAAAATACCTGTTCCCTTGAAATAGATTTATTTGTTTATCACCTGCACCTACAAAATACAATTTAGAGAAATTTAGAGAAATTCTAAAACTGACTTTAATTGTTAATAGAAGTTTTAAGATCTTGAAAATAATGAGGATGAGATGGACAATTTATTTGATGTGCTAAAATTACAACTGTAATAAAGTGTCGAGACATATTTTAGCTTAAAAATCTAAAATTATATAAACGAATAGAGTAAATGTTTTATTATGATGATCCCTTCTGTATGCTATACACGCCAAATTATGTTTAAGTCCTAAAATATTTTTTCTGCTTTCCTTCAATTTAGAAAGCTAATCAAATAAAAAAGTAGCTTTGACTATGATAGATGAATGCAATTAGGGCAGTTACTAATTCGTACTTTAAAAATGGATGAATTTGTCTTTTTTCCCTCTAATATTTCCCTTTAAAAAGTCTTTAGCTTTTAGTAGTTATTGGAAATGTTGCATGAGGAGATAATGTTAGCTTTTTTGTATCATTTAAATTTAATCTGCAGTCTGGTATCAGCAGGGAGAAAATGCATTTCAAAGGCAAATGAAAATATTCTCTGCAAATGACTATATCACCAGTGGTTAGTTATGTCCTAAGAGTAAATTCATAGCTATCAGTGCTTTTATTTAATTTTAATAAAATCGTACTCTTTTTGGTTCTTGGTGATGGAGCAGTTACATAAGTACTTATAAATCGTAGAAGATTTTTTTTATTCATTTGGTATTGATCCTCAAAATATATGTCTTTAGATGATTGTATTTTTTCTATTGCACAATAAAATTCCTGAATTGTGATGGTTTTTCTTCCCATGAAATTGAGTGTACTTGTATAATAGTTATAAAATACAATAGCTTTTCTACAACTTCTCTAAAAAAAGAGAGAGAGAATGCTTTCTAAATTTAAAAATAAAGCAACTGAAAATCAGAGCAATCTCTTTCTTTGGGTACACATCATCTTTCTTTAATATTTAATGATAACTCCAAGAGAAAGCTATAGAAAATTGATTTGTATTTTAGTTCCACTTCTTCAGGGATAATGCTTTCTTTGCACTATTTCTAAAATAATAGCATAATCTGTTTAGGTTCACATTTATAATCCCATGGATATGTTAAAAGGCACACACCAGTGATATGTCTCTCATATGGGCAGTTCATGTCTTTTATTCACTCTGGGTTTGCGTTTGCCAGTATTTTGCCTGCCCTTGTGTGTTTTTAGAGTCAAAGTTAAGCTAGTCTCATTGAAAGAATTTGAGAGACTTCCATCTTTTTCGTCTCAGAAGAGTTTGAATATTCAGGAACATCTTTAAATCCATTTGAGTCTGGTTTTGGGAGGGATTAGAAAGATTTTTAATTATTGATTGTATTTTTAAAATATAGGTCAAATTCAATCTCCTTTTTATAATTAAATAGTTTTTAAACAAGTCACAAATCCACATAAACTTATATGTTTTTTTTTTATTCTGGTATATAGTCTTAAAAATTATTTTCAGTTTTGACTGTATTTACAAATCTATTTGCATGAAGTATTTATAGTATTCTACTACTTTCCATAAGTTCTGTTTTATGTGTAGTTATGTCACTGTTTTTATTCTAAAATTTTTTTGTGTACATGTCTTCTCCCTTTTTGTTTATTAATATTGCTAGATTTTGGTCTACTTTATAATTTTTAAAAAAACTTTGTGTGTGTGTGGCTTTTTAGCTAGAGTGTATATAGTTTGGCATAGATTTTAAAAAACTGATTCACAACCTAAATGCCCATCAACAGACGATTGGATAAAGAAGTTATGGTTCATATATACAATGGAATATTACTCAGCCATCAAAAAAATGAAATCCTGCCATTTGCAATGACATGGATGGACCTAGAGGTTATTATGCTGAGTAAACTAAGTCAGATAAAGAAAGATAAATACCATATAATTTTACTTATATGTGGAATCAAGGCACAAAAAGAACAAACTAATCAAAAACAGACTCACAAATATAGAGGACAATCTGATGGTGGCCAGAGGGGCAGGGGAGTTGGGGAGCTGAGAGAATGAGGTGAAGATTAAAGATGTACAAATTACAAATTAGTAGTTGATAGATGGTCATGGAGATGGGGAGCATGACATAGGGAATGCAGTCAGCATTAATGTAATGGCTAGGTGGAGAGCCAGAGCAGAGAAAGAGCAATTAGGGGAATCATTTTATAAACTATGTTAATGTCTATCCAATGTACTGTATACTTGATACTAATAAAAAAACTTTAACACATTCTCATAGCTAAGAAAAAATAACTGATTCAATAAGTAATTTTTATTTAGATATAAGTTATAGGATCAAACATTAGATTTCTTAGAATATCATTTTTGCTCTTAGTTCTTGGATCTCCACTATGAATAATTTTAGGAAAAGAAAAAAAAAATGATCGTGGACCACACACATTGGTCTGCTTTCTTTGTTGCTGGATTTGCTAAGCTTGATATTTAACCACCTAAAATTTAAATGTTAAGTGCTTTCACCTGAAGAAAATATACTTGAATGACTTGGGTTTACCTTCTTAAATGTTTCACTTGGTGATGCCTTTTTAAAGAAATATAGTTAGTTTCTTTTTTAAAAGTATTTTACTTTTTCTACTTTTAGAGTTTTATGTCTTATATTTTACATCTTAGCCTTTGTAAATTTAGGACTATACCATTATTTAATGTTGTTTAGAGATTCATCTGAATTTCCGAAATGCTCGTGAATAAGAACATGGTCTTATATTAGTTTATAAGAGGCAAATCTCATTTAAAGACTATTCAGGGTTCTGGCAGAAGTTAATGTACATTCCTGTTTTGATTCTTGTCCCTCCCACTACTCAACATTCCTGACTCTGGTGACTGTGGAATGAATACTCAAGGAAGGGGGAGGCCTCACTTGAAAGGCTGAGGAATAAGATTTCCAAGCCCAGCAATATGCTTAAGCTCAGAACCTGGTGGTTCATCATGCTTTGTTACACTCAAAAGCTCTAGCCCTGAGCCAGAGAACCGCTTTGGGAGATAGATGAGGGGTGACTGTTAGCATGATGAAAGGTTTCTAAACACTAAGTTTAGAGTATAACTTGATTTAAAAAAATCAAACATTCACAACTCTTTTTAGAATATGTGACACTGCTTCTCCATTCTTATGTAGCCTTATATATAATTTGTAAAATGACTGACAAATAATTGCCTACCGAAGTTGTATAGCCTCTGTTTTAAATTTTTACTTCTACCTTTATCTCCCAAGTTTACTGCTTTCTTTTAATACAGATTTAAAAGAAATAGAAATGTTTTCAATTGCAGATACACCAGGAAGGACTTGTGGCCAGATCCTCATGAAATTAAATTGCCGGGACTAGGCAGATTATATTCATTCCAGCTTTTAAAGTTGTCTTTAAAAACAATCAAAAGGGCACATAGGTAACAACGCTTATTTTTCTGGCAGCTTTTGCTTTAATGCTCACATTCTATATTGGTATTCCCTCCCCCCCACAATTTGGTTAAACATTGTTTGGACAATTTGACTTCTAAAAGGTAGTTATTGTTTTTACGAATTGAGCTAAATAGTTTCTAGGTTCCCTTCCCCAAATTCATGGTTCTTTGGTTAGTTTAAAAGTCTAATGTTATTTGATGAAATGAAGTCATGAGAAGTGACAAAGTTACTTGTGTGATTTTTTTGGGGTGAGGGAGGGGTGAATTTTGAAAGCCAGTAAGCTCTTGTACCAAGCTCCTTGCTATCAGGAGAGTTTTAGAAGATGAAAGTAGTTGTTTAAAAATTTAGTTTGCTTACTTGTATAGATTATATACATAATGTTTAAAGAATTGTGCAACCCATATCTTATAGAGAATGGAATTGAAATGATTTTAGGGGTGAATCTACTTAAGTGACTCAACAGGTAGTAAATACATTAAATTTTAAGCCTCGCTTCTTACAGTAAACTGTTTGGAACCATTCCTGAGATTATTCACTATTGACTAACAGTTGAAATATCATTGATTCTTCCTGCTATTGGAGGCTTCTGCATTCGGTACAGTTATCTGTACCCATGGACCTGACAGTTTAGTGGTGATTTATCGGATGATTATAGGTAATCTTTGAACTGATAAGGACTGGTTCAATTGCGGATACACCAGTTCAGACAGGGAAGTGTGGTGGGATCATACATCTTAGATGGAAGTAAATCAAAGAGTATTTTGAGTAGACCTTCATGATTCAATCAAAGATTGTATGTGTAAAGATTTGGGAGTATGAAGGTAAGAGATGAGGTTGGAAACCACCGTAGGTTTATGAAGAGCCTTCACTGCTGTGCTTTGTTTATATTGGGTACTCATTAGCGGCTTACACAGAAAAATGTAAAGAATAACTTGGGAAGCAAAGAGGTGAATGACAAGAAGCGTCAATGTGATGATAGGCCAAGCAAGAGATACAGTTAGATATGAGTCACTAGGGAGTGACTGTGCAAATGGTAAAGAGAAATGGATTCAGGAGATAGTTCAGAGGTAGATGATCTGGGACTTGACATTTGGATAGAGTGGGAGAACATTGTAGATATTCAATAAGTATTTGTGAATATTTTGGTGTGTTTTAATATGTAATAGAAATTAAATCAGAAAATATTTTGCATTTACCCCTGAAAATCCTGTTTGTTTTTCTGTAGAAATGCCTTTTGAAAATGTAAGCAAACTAAATTTTTAAACAACAATCACTTTCATCTTCTAAAACTAATAAAAACAACTGAAAAATATAATGCAAAGTAGCCTACCAAAATTAATAATGTTATTTTCTTCATGTTTTATAACAATATTCTAGACTTGTTTATATTTTACTTAGTTTATGTTATATAAAAGCTTATGATATTTTAAAAATGAAAGTGAGTGTATTTAATACAAATTTTAACCAAGTTTTCCAATGAAGAGAAATTTGTTGAGGGTTAAAAAGAAAAAAGTGTTGATACATTTCTAGAATTTCAAAATGCATTAAAAATAGGATTATATCCTTAATTTATCCCTAATGGCTTTTTTTTTACAGTAGGAATAGAAGTTTTTACCTACTGTATTTATACTGAATTCCAGTCTGTTCAAACTCAAGGTGAATAAAACCTTAACACCTACAGATATTTTCAATGGTTGGGAGCAGAAAAAGCTTTAATGTATGAAAATGTAGTTATAGCTTAAGACATTTTAATGAAGTGTAAAAAGGAGAACTGCAGGTGTGCATCACCTGTCCAGTCCCACGGTGGTAATTACCTTGCCGTGCCGCCAAGGTTGTTGATGTCTCTAGAAAGTCTCATTTAAACTAATGAAGTAGATGGGCCGGTGGTCCCGGGAGTCGCTGCATGTAAGATTCTGTTAAAAACCTGAGAGCTGCATTGATGTAGGTTGCTTTGTTGTACACTAAAGCTTATTTATTTTAAACATCATGTTGAAGACAAAAATTTCACCTTCGGAAATGGCCACTTTCTACTTGATCTTAGGTGGAATTTTTAAGGTGTCTTTCAATAGCTCTTAGTTATGGAGGCACCTTCATTATCTTTAACATGGAAGCAGTCGGTGGAAAACATCATGCAAAACAGTGGATATTGTAACAGTTTTGAGGTTGATATGTTTACTACTTGCAGTTTGAATATGGATGATGATCGTCATAGTGAGAGTTTTCATTCAAACAAAATAAAATTCTGTGAGGCGCTAAGAAAAAAAAACTGTTGTTTGCTGGAGAGATTAGATCAAAATCTCCCTTCTTATAGTTTCTCATTTTTTCATCATAGTAAGAAATTATTAGGGGAAAATAAGTGGAAAAGAAGCAGGCCATTTCCAGGGGATTGGTGAATTTCGAATATCCACGTTGGGAACTTAGTTTCCATACAGAGAATTATTTTTCACATTTCTCTTTATAAAGTCCAGTCATCTCGAGTAAAACAGAACTATATTTTAACCAATTAATTGATAATTTTGCTTTTTTCTTCAATTCCTAGAGAAATGGGAGGTATATTACAGCATTTTCCCCTTTTTGTATGTATTGGTAATAATTACAGTACTTATAAGTGCCAGCTTTATTATTTCAAGTCTCATTAATGCCTGTTATTTTTATATTAAAATTTTGTATCAATTGATATTTAGTTGATTTTTGTCATAATTTTGAGTTACAACATCAGTGTATTCTTCCTTTATTTATTAGATACACACAAATCCATGTTTTTATCAGTCTTCTGAGAAGAACCAGCTTTTACCGTTGAAGACAAATGTATGGCATTGGTTGAATCCTGGAGATAGTTTTTCTTTGTTAGTTGACAAATACATTTTCCGTGTTTTCTCTACGTATTCTGAAATGGAATTGGAATGTACTTTAAGGTAAGAGTGCCTGATGAAACGAGATTAAATAATGATATTTATAATCTAATGCCTCGGGCATCCACAAATGTTTCAGTAAAAACTATTCTAGTGCTAAATTGTATTGGCGATATAGGAGTTACATGGTGTGTGTGTGTTTCTAAAAAAACATTTGACTTTGGAAACTTATGCCTCGATAGAGATTGTTCCCACATGTGGTGTCTTTTCATTGTGTTCAGAATATATTTTCCATCTAAAAATAACCAGAATAGTTAATTTGAAACTGATATTTTCTTAATCTTCTCTTTAGTTTTTAAAATTCTATTAAGGTATTAACCTCTGGCTTAGACTACAGTTGTATAACTTCTCTTATAAAAATAACAGAAAATATAGAATAGAGAAACTGAGGAAATGAGTTATTACAATAAGCATCTGGAGTAAAGTTAAAAGTAATATGTTCGTTCTGTTGAGGCAGTCATTAGCAGATTATTTGCCTTTGTTTCAGCTTTTAAACTATTGAATACATAAACTGGACCCATAGAAGTAGATAGACAAAATTATACATATGTTCTCTAATTGCACTGATATTATGTTAAATTAAAAATCAATAATAATAAAGTAGAAAAATCTTCAAATATTTTGAAGTTAAAAACACATTTCTAAATAACTATGGGCCCAAGGGAAATCACAAGAACAATTAGAAAACATTTTGAAGAGAATGATACTGAAAACAGAACATAAAAATTTGTGAGATGCAAATTTTCCTTAGAGGATAATTTATAATACATGACTGTATTGGAAGGTAAGAAAGCTATAAAACCAGTGATCTATGCTTCTACTTTAAGAAGATAGACAAACTGGAGCAAATTAATCCTAGAATAGATAGAATAAAGGCAATAATAAGAAGAATAAGACTAGAAATCAATGAAATATAAAATAGACAAATAAGATTAACAAAACCAAAAGTTCTTTGAAAAGATTAATACAATTAGGAAACCTTATCAAGGCTTACCAAGAAAAAAGAAAGCTGGAAAACACAAATTATCAGTATCTGGAGTGGAAGAGGGACTATCACTACTGAACCTACAGACCTTAAAAGAATAATGAGAAATATTTAAAACTGAATGCCAGTAAATTTGGCAACCTAAATAAATGCATACATTCCTTGAAAAATACAGCTTAATAAATCTGATTCAGGGAGAAAGAAAAATCTGGTGAATCTTATATCAATTAAAGAAATTGGGTTCACAATTTAAGAATTTTCCACGAGGAACTTCACTAGTGAATTCTCTTAAACTTTCAAGGAAGAATATCAATATTAGATGTTTTTGCCCAAAATAGAAGAGACTATACTTCCTTTCTCATTTTATGAAGCTTCCGTAATCCTGGTGCCAAAATCAGACAAGAATATTACAAGAAAAGAAAATACAGACTCATATTCCTTATAACAAAATATTTACATGTCAAATCCAGCAATGTGTGATAAGGATAATATGCTTTGACCAAGTGGAATTTGTCCAAAAAATGCAAGGTCAATTTATGACATAAAAATCAATCAATGCAATTCACTCTTATAGATTAAAGAATTATCACTTCAGTAGATGTATAATAATAATTTTGCAAAATTCAACACCTGTTTATGATTTAAATATACCTTTGAGAAAACCAGGGAAAAAAAGAAACTTCCCTCCTATTAAAAAAAGCATACTTAATAGTAAAATATTGAAAGTTCTCCCCCTAAGATTGGGAACAAAACAAAGACGTCTGTTTGCACAACTTTTATTCATCATTTATTGGAGGTCCTAGCCAGTCCAGTAAGGCAAGAAAAAGAAAGAAAATGGATTATTTTGGAAAAAAAGTAAAACTTTATTTGCAGATGATATGATTGTGTGTTTTAGTTTGTTCCACATGTGACCATGGATGCTTCTGTGTCAGAACATTTAGCTTCCATTCACAAGTTTGGGGAGATTTCACAAGTGACTGTACTGGCCAGAACCCCAGTAGCAGCTATATGTGAACTTGACATCAGGATTTTATTTTTCTTCAGGAGTCTAACTAGTTTCTGGTGTTCTTGCAGTTTGCATTTTCTCTTTGGATGCTGGGTGGTGATCTTCACTTTTCTGGACTATCTGGACAAATACTGAATAAGTAAATATCTCTTATGCCTTGAGAGAGATAGCTGCTCCCCATCTCATAAATAGCTGTGGTTTTTAGGCCCATAATTTGGAAATATTAATGTATTTTATGATGATACCATGGGCAGAAGATGAAGAACACGTTCTACTCTATGCGTTTTATTCTATTATACTATAATCTGCTTTTTTGTTCTGCTAAGTCTGAGAAGAAGAGCATTACTCATTAGATGCAATTGAGAGAACCACATTTATAATGACATTGTAGGCAACAAAAGTGTTTTAAATTTAAATGATTAATAAATGAATTTTGATTATATTTTATAGAAATAGTCAAATGTTTGATGAAGATGACATACTGAATAGGACACCAAAATCTTCCTTGGCTAATTTGCCTGACGAGGCAACTGGTGCCCCACAGCTGGAAAGAAGCACAGAAATAGCGACGGCCCAGACTTCTACCTCAAATAGTGTGGTGAGAAATTTAAAATCTCATCCATTTGTAAATATGTTCCTTCAGTTATTTCGAGGAGGAAAAGACAACTGAAATTAGACATATCATGACAATACCTCTAGCACTGATCTGCTTTTGCTGTTTTTAAGTGAAGCTCCAGAGAATATCACACTAGACCAACACTTCAACTAACAGAGATAATAAATTTCTTTCTTTGAGAAATTTGAATGACTTGGTCCACAGTTGCAGATAGATTTTTTTCATGGTAGTTTTCTGCAAAGTAAATAATTTTAAATTTCGTTAAGGATGCATGATTATTTTTAGTAATTAATAAAATAGGTGCCTTTTTAGTCTTTCCTAGGTGAATGTACAGACTTCAGTAAGCAGCAGTCCAACACTGCTGAGAGGAAAAGAATCCTTCCAGCGTGGATGTTAAGAGGAAATCTTAGCGATCGAAACCTTTCAGCACCAGTCATCAGTGGAAGTAGGTGTTATTTCAATGAAACATTAAGCGGAATTTGAAAGTTTTTCTGAACAAATGGAGATAGTGTAGTAATTTTTTAAGTGTATAACTTAGCCTAACATTTTTTTAGATATGTACATGAAGTCTTCTTTAAAACGAAAGCTATTAATCTATGCCATTTATCAAACATCCTGCTATTATTTTTTGATTTAACAAGTGCTTTTTATCTTATGTGCTAGACTTAATCATATTACCATAGCTTTTCAAACAAACCTATTGGTGTCATGTCTAAGATAAAAGGCCAGCACAGTAAGGGCTTTATAAATTAATTTAATTAAATAAAAAACTACTAGACACTCAACATTATGTGCTGGAAGATTTAAAGAAGAGGTGACCCCTGTGCTAGTATGGCTCACTGTCACAGCAGATTTGACAGTGATTTATTTCATCTGCTGGATATTCCCATTGGTTCAAGATTATTAAAATGTTTTATGCATTGTCTTGTTTACTCAGCATTTTATTTGCAACTTTTCAGTCATCTCAGGTTCGGTTTCTGTTGACTGCTTGTTTTCTTTTATAGGTGTTACAGTTTCCTGTTTATGCTCTTATTTAGTGACTTTCTTTTTGATGCTGGATGCCATAAGTGATATATTGTAGACACTTCTGATTTTATGTTCTTCTGAATACATATTTTTGTTCTAATAAGTAATTACTTTAGCCTATAGGTGATTTTCTTCTAATAGACAAATAATTCAGGCCCTAAACTCTGTTTCCCCTGTGTGGATGGCAGCTGCAGTCTCTGCTTAGTTCTTTCAGCTTATTCTTTCCTCTGGATTCTGGGGCTTTCTCCCATGCCAGTCATCAGCCAAAGAGTTGTATTGATTTTATGTGAAAATTTTGGTTCTTGGCTCTCTGAATCTTTCTTTCTTCTAAGATTTTATTCCTAACGTTCTACCTACTCCATGGACCTCAAATTCTGTCCCCAGACGAGTTAAGCCAGTAGGCTGCAGCTTTCTGTTACCTGTGATTTAGGGGATGCCTTCAGAAAAAAAGCCACAAATTTACAAACCTCACAGGTTGTAGTTAGTTTTTCAAGCTTAGACTCTTCTCTAGTTCTGCCTTTCAGGTCATTCTCCAGTGCCTGCAAGTTTGGTTTTTTTTTATATATTTCCAAAATTTATAATGGTTTTCTTTAGGATGATTAGTTCATTCAAGCTACTCTTTCGTTTTACCCTGAACATTATCTTTTATAAATTAACAGCACAATTGAATATATATTTTAGTTGATATTACTACTCTTATTGTTTCTAATATTCAGCATAGTGGTCACAGAAGTCTTCTAAAGTTTGATTGATAGATTGAATGATTGATTTTTATTTTTTGAGGTGACCTCACAGATTGCAAAGACCTTGCAGTTTACAATTCCTTATTATTATTATTTTTATTTTTTACGCCTACAGCACCTGGTCTTCCTAGGTGGTCTCCCATCTCAAGTTTTTGATCAAGGATGTTATGGACAGGATATTCCTCATGTAATGCTAGTTTGGATTATAGTGGGATAAGAGTGATCTCATGGGAAAAATAGGTTGTATATTATGTGTTGAGGTAGATGTGATTTAATCTGGAGATTTTTTGTATCTAAACCTAAAATTTTCTGGAAAGAGTTTTTTTCCATTACAGAGTTTTTAATTCCCTCCCTCATCATTACCTATATATTTTATCAGTAATATTTCTCATGAAATGTGCTAATTCTTAACTTGCCTGAAGATAATGGTGAATGAGGGTGGTAGTGGGGAGAGGGCAGCCACTTTTCCTCAGTGGAATGATTTCTCTAGTATAGAAAGAATAACTTGACCAATATTGGACCAATGTAAATTGCCTTCTTGCAAAAAAGTCCTTTCTTTCACAGTTGTTTTATATTGTAATTGCCTCTATGCTACCGCTGTGTTACTTACAACAATCCAAAATATATTTTGCTTCAAATAGCCAATAACTTTTCCTTGATAGATATACCAGATAAAATTTGAAGCACATTTTTGGGCCCTTCACCTTGAACATACAAATGAGAGTAATCTGACATTGATTTGGACAGGAATATTACATAGTATAAAATGTACTTAAAATGCAAAAGCTTCAAAATAAGAGAAAAGTCTTTGGATTCAGATATATCTTATTATAAAGTTAGACTTTGGGGGAGTACTTGTAATTAAGCAAAGGTAGGTTGCTTAATTTCTTTAAAGACAGGAAGATTTAGAAGTAAATTAGTACTTAAAACCAGCTAATGAAAAATTGGAATAATTGGACTTTTTCTGCTATGTAGTTCTTATTTTATTGTTATTTTATTTGTTTGTTTAAATATCACCTAGCTCAATAGACCAATGCTAGTGATTTTTAAAAATCAATTTCCAGGATGCATTTTAGGATCATTTAGATGTAGTTTACTTCTGTCTTTTTGCAGCCTTTGTACTGTACTGTATTCATTAATATTTATTTAGATGATCTGAAACCATCTTGATTTTTTTTGGTAACTTCTGGGTCATTAAGTATAGGTCAGATAATGTTAATTGATGTTAAATGACTTATCCAAGATCACTTAATAAATGCCAGAGCTGTAACTGAGACCTAGCTCTGCCTGACTTGAAAGCCCATGCTCTGAACTGTGTCACTATACAGCCACCTAAATTTACCCTTTATATGTTCTGTTTTTTTCTTTTGGATTATGCTCTTGTGTTCTCACCTAGATCTTTTCTCAGTTTAACTCCTGATTTAGTCCTGATATGTATGTGAACGTTTGCTGTGATCAGGCTATCCTTTCAGTTTTTCAACTGGTATATAGTTCATTTTATTTTTCAGGTCCCCAGCTTTTGGACGTTATCATGAGTTTCTCAGGCCTGAGATAGGGAAGTGAATATGTTTGGACAAAGGCTGTCAGAGCCTCCGCTTTTAGGCCCCAGGACAAGTCATAACTCCTAGGTTATGACATTCTTGCTAGATTGAAAAAGGAACTTTTATATTTTCACTGGTATCATGTTACTCTGTAGTACTTTTCTTTCCCCATCTTCTAACTCTCCAACCTGGAGTCATGAAAAGTAGCACATGCTGGTAAAGATTGAAGTAGTAAGTAGTCCCCAGACCATTCGGTTTGCATTTCATTTTGTATTCTGAATATTTTTTGTATGACAACTCAGTGTAGATTATAAATATTGAACTGACTTTGTTTAATTTGAGTGTAATTCAAAATTTACTTAAAATGCTAGTTATTCTATATATTTATTTCTAGCCATGCTACTAAAAGATCTAATCAATAGGTTTTTAGCCTCTTGGATTTTCTAGCTATATAATCATATCTACAGAATTATGATGCTTTTGACTCTTTTGACCTATCTACTGCTTTTAAAATTTTTTATTGTCTTATGTCATGAGCTAGATTCTATAAATTTTAAATAAAAATGGGCAAAATTGGCATCTGTGTCTTATTTCTGATTTTAATAGGAAATTCTGTTAGTATTTCAGCATTTAATAAGATTAGTATTCAATTTTGATACTCTTTTCATGTTTAGGATGTTTTAGTTTTTTCATGAATGACTGTTGAATTCTTTGAAAAAAATTTTGGTATAGAAAGAGTCTTACATTTTCATGTGTTAATGTAATTGATTATGTTGGTAGGATTCCTGTGGTACACGCTTGCATTCCTGGAATAAGTTCAGTTTTATCATTATGGCTTATTATTTTCATACTCTGTTAGATTAGATTTGCTAATATTTAGTTTAGGACATTTTAACCTATATTCACAAATGTGGTTAATATTTTTCTCCATGTGTGCCATCTGTGTCAGATTTTGACAGTAGAGCTGTGTCAGCATTGTAGAAAATGAATGAGGGGTTTTCCACATATGCTCAAGGACCATTTGAATAACAGAGATAGATATGTTTCTTTATAGAGCTTTCCTACATCACAGTCTGGGCCTGGTGCCTGCTTTTTACAATTGATAGTTCTGGTATAAGAAAGGTAAGTTAGACCAGCAAAAGAGAATGAAACACTTAGAAACAGATTAGAATAACATACATTTAATGTATAAAAAATTATCAGTTCAAATTGATGTGGAAAGGATGCATTATTATTATAAACGACATTGAGAAAATTAGCTTTCAGTTTAGAAGAAAATAATAGTAGAGCAGTAACTCATACCATATTAGTAAGTAAATTTCTACTGAATTAATATTCTTAATGTAAAAGTTAAAACTATTAAGGCATTTGGAGAAAATATGGGGAAAATATTTTTATTACTTCCAGGAGACTTAATAAAGATGATAGGAGCCTAGAACAATAAGGGAAAATTGACAAATTTATCTAGATTAAAAATGAAAAAAATGTTTGTATGCAAGACACTATACACAAAGTCAAAGGCAAATAGCAGACTAGAGAACAATATGCTAGTTGATATCTATCGTACTAATAAAATACATAGAAGGTTTTTATTAGCTGTCTACTTGATAACAAAAAAGAAGGTAAAAGCAGTAGAAATTTTGGGCATTGCAGATAACACACTACAGAAGAAGAAATACAAAAAGCCAATAAGTATATGACTACTGTCAGATAGGAAAGTGTAAATCGAAACAACCAGATACCATTTTTTGTTCATTAAACTTATCAAAATCTAAGCAATTGATAGTAACCAGTGCTGACAGAAATGGGTATCATTGAACATAGTTGGTGGAAATATAAGTATGGTACAGTCATTTAAAGTTACTTGCCCATATCTCTTAACTTTTTAAATATGCAACACACTTTGATCCAGAAATTCTAGGTATTTAATCCACAGAAATAAGAGCATTTATACTTTTAGCCCTGCTTGTATTTATGTGTACATATTTGTAGATATATTTGCTTAAACTTAGGAAAAAGTTGAGAAAGCTTTACATCAAATTATTAATAAAACTGATTTTAACCTTTGGAGGTTAAAATTGGATGAATGTAATTTTAATGACATATGCATATTAGTGTAACAGCTCATATAAGTAAATGCAGTTATTAATAGTTCACGTAAGTAAAATAAACTGATTTGTTTTAATAGTTAATTTCTTTTATATTTCTATCATTTAACTGTACCGTACCTATCCTGGACTTAGAAAAATATTTGCTATGCCAAATACAAAGATTGTTAAGAGCCAATTAACTTATTTTATGCACTCTTTGTGAAAAACATTTTAACAACAATATCATAATGGCTTCTTCCAATGCAAAAGAAATGAGCTGTGGTCACTAGAAAGAATATTTGTACTAGAGAATTTGGATTTTTAAAAAAATGAATATTTTAAATATATATTTTTTTAACTTTAGGATTTTATGTACATGTTGACACTTGGAATGTAGCAAACTGCTATTTGGGCAGAAGCTATATCTTATTTAACTTACATTTTTAGTTTTTAGCATAATAAGCAATTACCATAGTTGGTTATTTCCTTTGGTTTGACTAATTCATAACTGTTGTAGCATTTGTTTATTCATTTCACCAAGCTGTACAGTCCTGTTTAGTCGTATTTCTGACAGTTTCTAAAATGATGTGGAATGCTTTCTAACTTAGATTCAAAACAAATATTTAAATAATTTAGGTAAAGTTTAGTTATTAGTTTATTCATAAGTTTCTTTTGGTAAATGCATTATTTTTATTTTGGTTCACCTGATTTAGCTGTTTAATAATATGAACAGTACATACTTGATTAATATTTATTTCCTGAACTTAATAGAGTATTTTTTTAGGCTACTTGAATATCCTTTAGAACAGCTCTGAGCAAACTATAGCCCATGAGCCAAATCTAGCCCACTGCCTGTTTCTGTAAATAAAATTTTATTACAATACAACCATGCTCATCCATGTATGTATTATCTGTGGCTACTTTCACACTACAAAGGCAGAATTAGGTAGTTGTGAAAGATACCATATGGCCCACAGAACTTAAAATATTTACTTTCCAGCTTTTTGCGGAAAACTTTTGCTTTACGACATTAGACTATGGATGGCCTTACATACCTATATCCAGGCTCTCAAGGGAATCTTTGGACAGATTCTGTTTATGTTCAAAATTTATTTAGTCAAGCATGTTTACTGAGCACCACTTTTGTTCTGGGCACAGTTCTGGGTATTGGAGACACAAGGGGTAAAACAGAGAACAAGGTACACAAAGTCCCTGTCCTTATGAAGCTATCTATCATTTGAGTATAGAGAAGATAACAACTAACCATGAAGATTTTCCTCTTAAAGGAGGTAGATCTTTCTTCTTTTCTGATTAGATAGTTCATGAATTTGTTAACAAAATGTGATACTAACTTAAATTTCCTGACTGTACTGAACCTTGGGAAGTGTGACATAGAATACAGTGTTCATTGTTACTTATACTTATTTTCTTCATTGGTGAAGTTCATAGAGGTCACTCTCCCTTTTGGGTCATTTTGGGTTCTTAATATGTATTTCATATAACAAGTTGAATTCCTCACTGTGGAAGTTAGGGGCTCAATAAGTATATGTAAAATTCATCAGATAGCTATATGTCAGATTTTCTGTTAGAAAAATTCAGTGCTAAAATAAAAAAATATATATATGATAGCTAACATATATCAGGTGCTCTCCTACACAGTTTATAATTATAATTCCCTTTTTCCAGATGATGAAACCAAAGTTCACAGAGGTGAGGTGAAATGGTTAAAGGATGGAGCCTGCTCACACTAGCATCTTGGCCTGGCTGACGCCAGGGCTGAAGCTCTTGGCCGTTGTTCTACTTAACACATTTTGAGATTTGCAAATAAGTGTTTTCAAGTTGGCATTAATATAAATGGAACTTTGATTTACTTGCCCATTTATCTTTTTCCTTTTTTTGGGTGTAGATTATTGGTATTTGAAGATGTAGGAGATAATTTTCTTCTCCTTTTTCTTTGTGTCTGTGTGCTTTTGTGTGTTTAAGATACAGTAACCCAGGAAAGTCCAGAAGAAGGAACCTGCAAAGATAAAACCCAAGTAAACATAACACACCAAGGAAGAAAGCGATTGATTTCACCGGGAAGCTCAGAAAGTACATCACCAGTGCAAGACACAGGAAAAAAGTGCAAAAATGCTGATCAGGAAAAATCTATCATTTCACCCAAGGTGATTTTTTAAAGAATTCATTGTTCAATTGTTCTATCAAGTATTCTAGATAGGAATGGATTATATGTTGTATACAGCAAGGAAAAACCAAAATTGCTTTTTTTATTAATGAATTGGTGACATTTGTAAAGACAAAATCTAGCCCAGATTTTTTGGAGTTGGGGGGCAGGAGTGTTTATTGAAACTAATCTTTAATAAGAGTATTTGCATTGTTGAAAAGAAAGCTATTTAATTTAGAAATTTTCAGACTGGGAAATAAGTAGAGACCACTTGACTCTAGTTATCATTGGTACCTCTATTCTGAAAATCTGGTTTCTCCTATTTTGTTGGTCATTCTCAAGTGCATGTAACCAACTTCTTAGATAATTGTGAAGAGGAGAACAACTAATGAGCTCATTCTTAATAGCCTGTTGCAGGATTACTTCTGGGCTAACTTACAGTCTTTATAAACCTTCTCTTTTGGTTTTTGCTAACTCACTAAAATGGTTTGGCTGACTTAAGTATTCTTTTAACACTGGGTACTTACAGAAAATGTGGCCTATGTTGAATGCATCTAAAAAGAGAGAGAGAAGAAAATAAAAGAGATGGCCCCTGGGCAGAGAGGTCAGGTATTCTTCCCTTCAGTAGAGGGGTGGCTTTAGGTGACAGTTTTCACAATCATGTAGACTTGTGGCCGAGCTCTGTGGGTCCCCTCCTTTGGCTCTCACTGAGACTCCTTTAGTCTCAATGAGAGCCAAAGGAGTAGGATTGCTTTTAGAATAGTGTGCACTGGAATGATAGAAAGGCCAGCAGCATTTCAGAGGGTCAGGCTGTTTACCGTCTTCCCTTCTCTCTTGCTGCCTCTCCCGTTAGAGCAGATCCAACTTCTCACTGGATCCTTTCTTCCAGCTAGAGAAGTGGGGTCTAATCACTATAGGCTCAACTCCTTTGCTTACTTACAGAGTCGTTTAATAAATGAAAACAAAACATTTTCTGACTCACATATAGTGGCCATAAAAACTTATTAAAGTAAAACTTGTTTTCTTTGAGTGCTAACATGTTCTACTCTCTGAACATGTTAATATGACTGCTTCTTTTTCCAAGAAGAGAAATTATTTTTTTCAGAAAGCAATCTAGTATACATGTTTTACTATGTTAATTTCAACCCATAAAGTTTGGTAATCACAAGTAAAACTTTCAGAAACACTTTCATAATTGATAAGAGTATAGAGAGGACCAGTAAACAGATCCAAAATATTTGAGGTATTTAGAGATTTTGAAGACATCAATTTTTTTTGCAATTGCTCTCTATCTTAAGATTTCCAAAGGAGGTTCGCCTCTCACAGCACAGGAGAAACAGAGCTCAAGGTTTCATAACCTTTTCGTAACCCTTTATGCAGGGCTCTCAGGTAAAGCTGGGCCAGAGAAGATGACTTAGGCTGAGACCCAAGCAGGCCTTTTCAAGCCGCACCCTCTGTCCCTGCCCAGTTTGTCTTAACACTGTCTTGCAGCTGGTCCTCAAGGGGTGTCTAAGTGTGGAGCAGGTGGGAGGGAAAGTTAAAAATGAGCGAAAACAATAGGCTAGGCCCACCTGTTTAGCCTAATGGTGGGAGATTGGCAATTATAAGGGACTAAGAACAGTTTGGCCAGGCCTGCAGAGTAGGCTGGGATCAGTTTACTTGGAAAGGATCAAATCACATTCTCCTGGGGAAGAGTAAGAAAAGAAGTGGAGAGAAGGGGCAGAAATCACCTTCCCCCCACTGGGTCCTACTGTTCAGATTCTGACTCATTTGGTCTGTGCAGCCAGTACGTTAGCATGATTTTAAATAAATTCTCTCAATATGCACTCAGAATTGAGAGCTGCTAATATATCATTGTTCAACAAATTAGAGGAAACTGAGGCCTAGATCACATTGCTAAAGACCTTGAGCCTCAAACGTAGACCTTTTCATCTGGGCACAATGGGTTTTTCTACCATATGTATTAGACTCTTCAAGAATTTTGTCTCTAGTAACTTCTGATAATGCAGATAATTGCTCTAAAAGAGTCCATTTTGATCAGTTCTCTTTTGTCTTTCTGCAGCTCCTTACCAGTTATGTAATTGTCTAATTTGAGAGTGAAAATGAGAGTGTTTGAATCTGTTAACTTTAAAGAAAAGGATGCTCTGTCTTGTACACAATCTAATTAGGACTCAGTTGTAAGTGAGAGAAGGAAATCTAACTGAAACAACTTAAGCAAAATAGTCTCGTGAAGTATATCGACAGGCCATTGCTGGGAAACAGGCTACCCTAACGCTTAGTGACTTCACATAGAAATCAATGATTTATTATTTCTTATAATTCTGTGGGCTGGCTGGGCTCAGCTAGGCACTTCTTTTGTGACAGTTTTGTGTCAGCTGGGCTGTATTCAGCTGGGAACTTAGCTGAGGCTGGAGCACCCAAAGTGGCTTCACACACATGAGTGGTGCCTCGGCGAGGGTGGATGGAGTGGGGAAGCAGTAGATGTGGCAGTTGGGAAAGGGAAGGGGAGGGCTTGTTTGGCTTGAGGCAATGGAGGCATATCTATGAAAGCTGTCTAATAGACAGAAATGAAAGTTGGTCTCACATGGAAGATAAAAATCATGGCTAGAGAGTTCTGTTGTAGCCATATAATTTGGAAGCAAACTTGCAAACATTTCATTCGGAGTATATGAGAGTATATTCAGTTGGATACTTTGGCAGTGAGAGCCATTTCCAGTTATACTGCCAGCTCTGTCCTGTGGTCGTAATTGCTGAAGCAAATAAGCTGGCTATTAAGTATCTAATTTCTCTGCATATAGATGCCTCCTATGGAGTCTTAGTCATTTTTCATCGTGGACATAGCAGTGGAGATGAAGACTATAACTCTACATAGCTATTTCTTAAGAAAGGCTGTATCCCCCAGGGCTCCTCAGTATTAGTTTACTACATCAAGGAATCTTATACCCTTTGCTCCTTCCTGATTGGTCATTTGAGTTAGTATCATTTATAGCATAGTTCTGATCGGTCCCATAGAAACATTTTTTTATTTGTTATTCATTCATTCATTCAGTCAGTCAATAAGCAAATAGTAATATGGTGGCATTAATTAAGCTATTAATAGTAACAACTAAAAAAAAAAAAAAAAAACCTGACCATTTAGTGAGTTCTTATTCTGGGCTAGACCCAGCACTTAGATATAATTATTTCAATTAATTTTTAGAAAATCTTGGGAAGTGTGTTGATTATATCCCGGTTTATAGATCAGGAAACCTGAGGTTCTGAGAATTTAAATCAACTTGTTTAAGGTCGAAGGTTAAGAGATGGCAATGCTGGTTTTTTACTTCAAAGATTATTCTAGTAATCGTTACACTAAACAGTCTTTCTGTTATAAATAAAGCAGTGTGCTAAGGTCTGGGATTACAAGAGCTCATAGTCTTGTTAATAAGGATTTCATAGTTTTGTGGGAGACATAATTCAAATCATAAAATAATGTGACCACACTGACTTTTTTGGAAGCTGTGAGGAAGATGACCTAAACCAGATGGAGGATTCCTAGGGAAGGGTTCCTAAAAAAGTGATCTGAGCTGAATCTTAAGAGAAGAATTGTAGGCATGACCCAGGTGCAGAAGAGGTAGAGTTAGAAGTCCATCCCAGGTAGGTGGCACAGCTGGTATAAGAGCAAAGGGAATACAAATAATATGCCAGGAACTACTGTTCTTAGAATTCTTGGTACAGAGTAGGTGGCAGTGTGAGATGAGGGGGAGCCAGCATTGGGAACTGGTTCCTAGGGGGAGAACCTTGAAATATTTTCAGCCACAGAGATAATCCCAGCAGCTCTTCAGAGGACAGATTGAAAGAACACAAGATAAAGGACAGAGGGATGAGGGAGGAGATTAAGGCATCAACACAAACAAGAAATAAAGAAAATTTGACCCAGGGCAGTGACATTAAGGATGATGCAAAGGCATTGGATTAAAGAAATATTTAGGAAGCAAAGCTGCAGGACTTGTTGCTTGGATATGGGGAAAGCGAGGGAAAGGAGGGAAAGAATGAGGGAAGATAGACCTCCAAGGTTCCGGCTAGAATGAACAGATAAATCATGTTGGCTGAAACTATGGTTGGAACACAGAAGGAGGATTTCAGGTTTGACATTTTGAGTTTGAGGTTCATGGGATATTTGGGAAGAAATACCTAGCTAGTGGTTGAATATATGAGTTTGAATTTCAAGAGTGTATTTGGAGGTAGAGTTTAGGATTTTTTGGTCTTTAGCACGCAGGTGGTCATAGGATTGATGCAGGGCTTTTAAGGCATCTTATTAACACAAGATATTCATTCCAAGGACAGCTTGGAAACAACACATTACCTCGTTGACTCATATTAGGGGAAGTTCTTTATTCTGTCCCTTGTAGTACATATAAACCTCAGATGGTTGAAGGATGGGGAAGGGCTAGTGTTGGGCTCTTTCAATAGCCTTAATAATAGTACATTCCAGCTGCTTGCAAGCACCAAGGTCACCTTCCACTAGATCCATGCTCCTCGATCCCTGAGGTCTCTCACATGTTTTTTTACAGTGTAGGAGATCTGGTCTCTCTATAATGAATCTCTAGCCTCCCACACTTCTTTCATCACATTTTCATCTAATCTAAGCAATGTAGGTACTCATAAAATATGAAGCTCTCTGCCTTTCCCTTACTTCTTCCAAATATAGCACACCTTTTATCCTTCCTGTCCCCTCTTTTGCCAGTTCAGTGACTTGCTCATGAGCTTTGTAATTGGCACAGTACAAATTTATATCTCAGCAAACTTACAAATTACTGCATGTAATGGATTTTGGGATCATTTATAAATAATTGAAACCATGAATGTTAGATTCTTGAATGCCAAGGGTCTACTGAATATCAATATTTCATGGAGTTCCATTATGAATTCCAGCTTTTGTGACTCTTAAAATATATTTGAGAGCTCCTGATCCATATATTGATATTTGTGACTTTATCATTCTTTTTAAGAATAAATTAACATGTTAAACATACTTTGTGATGATATTAAAAAAAAAACAACAAATCCTTTGCATTTCATGGAAATAGAGGGAGTTGAAATAAGGTATCAGGTGTTTCATATCTTATATTTCATCTCATTTTCTTTGGTTTGTTTTTTATTTTAAGTGGCAAATAATACATGCTTATTGTCAAAAATATTCAGAAGCATGTGAAGTAAAAAGTGAAAATCTTAATTTCCCTCATCCTTCAGTCCCATCGTCCTACCAATACTTAGATTTGTATCCTTCTAAACCTTTTCATTTGGATTTACACAAGTAAGTTCCCACTTAGATATATAGGACATTTTCTTTAAAAAATAAATGGAATCATAGTATGTATATTGTTCTTATTTAATTTAAAAAATCTTTAGATATATATAGAGAGATCTACTTCTTTCCTTTCAACCTCTGTATGGTGTTTCATGGTAAGAATATATTCTAATTTATTTAACTACTTCCCTAGCCATGTCCTTTTTTCTTTTTTTCCTATAATTTATGAAGGATGTTGAGTGGGCTCTTTTGTCTCCAAACTGTTGCTAAGGCCTAAAACTGGGGAAAAAAGTATTATGCATAAGTGTCATGTTTAAAAGGAGCCCCTACCAATGAGAGCCAGACCTTGTCCCATAGGACTTATCAAAAGGTATGAGAAGTAAGTGTTCACTGTCCCACCCCCAGGATTTATACAGAGAGAACTGAGGAACGAGAGGGTTTTAAGATGTGAGGGAGTGCTATGTTTGTGGGGAGAAGTTATTTTCTCCCTTTCTCAAATCAAGAGAAGAGATGCACTCTAAGAGAATTACTTGTGAGACTGGCATTTAATTGGACATCTGCTTAGCCAGTGTGGATTTGCTGACCTGCTCTATTAGTACCTGAACCGAGGAAAAGAAAACTGGTGAGAGTTGACCCAGTGGGGGACTGCCAAGTGGGGAGGTGGGTCAAGATTGCCCCATTCCCACCCCCGAGTTCCAGTCTCTGGTATGTGCCAGTTGGTCCCGTCGCAGAGGGAGATGAGAGTGGGGTATGGTTGAGCAGCTTGAGAGAAAAGAGTGTGTTTTAGAGCAGGGATCCCCAATTCCCCGGCCATGGACTGGTACTGTCCATGGCATGTTAGGAACCGGACCACACAGCAGAAGGTGAGTGGAGGGCCAGAGAGAGAAGCTTCATCTGTATTTGCAGCCGCTCCCCAGCGCTAGCATCACCACCTTGGCTTCACCTCAGATCATCAGGCATTAGATTCTCATAGGAGCATCTGTCCCTGGTGCCAAAAAGGGTGGGGACTGCTGTTTTAGAGGAATGCAGCATAAATGTCACCAGCTGAGGGTCAACTCCAAGAGGTAGCCTAATGATTGCTTTTCCTATAGGTTATTTATTACTATACAAGAAACACGATAAGACCTAGGTGTCTTTTGTAAGGTCTTTAGTCAGTTTGGATAGTATTTTAAAGTTACATACTGTGTTCTTAAGAAAAAAATATCAAAACACTTAATTAGTTCAAAAGAAGTCATGTTAATATTTTCTCAAGAAATTATAGCTCTTGGATATTAAGTAATATTAAAATCAGCTTTTCTCAGATGGCAGGCAGTATACATGAGTCCTTAGTTATAAATGATGAGCATTCACATGTATGAGCAATGTTTCTATTCCACAGAAAGTATAAATAATTAAAAGGTCATTCTTAATAGAATAAAACAAGGGATACTCTTTGTGCTGGTGATAAATACAAATTAAAAAGGTTCTGCACTGCTAATGAGCATATTTACTTGGTTCAAAACACCTCTAATTAGTTAAACTGAAACTTTTATTCAGACCATGTGAAAGGAATCATGTTTATTTTCCGAATTGGTCATAACATAGCTTCATGAAAAGGTGAGCGAGGAGCAGTTTTACCATTCAGCTATAGGAAAAAAATCATGAGTAAATTTAGAAGATAGAAATAAAGTATTGCAGTAACTTATAAGAAATTATAAGGAAAGTACATGTTAAGAGTGTTCACATTGTTGAACAGGAAATTTAAGAGCTGAGTAGGTTTTTGGGGAAAGATTATATTCAAATGAAAGCAAATGTTGTGTTATGTTTTATTTGTATTTCTCTGGTTATTTGTCACTGAATGTTTGACATGATTATAAAGGTTTGATATGACTGTAAATTCCTTTTATAGTAACTATATATTGTTTTAAAGTTATTAAACTAGAGACATAAAAATGGTATTTAATAACTAAAATGTAAATATTAAAGTTTTTAAAATATGCATATTATACAAATCTTGTAGTTTCATGCTTTTATGCTTAAATTTACATATTTCTTTCAAAACACATTTCATTTATTTCTATTTTTTTCTTCTGATTTGTCTTACAGGAAGTGCCACAATCATATTCTGCATTTACATTAAGTAACACAAAGGTGACTAATATTAAAACTAATACGCAGAGAAACGAAATCCCAATAGAGGAACTCGGTAAATTTTCTGAACTTCAAACCATCGCTAAAGGAACTCCAAATAAAGAAGAGGCAGTGAGCCATTCTGAGAGTTGTTCAAGCGCCCAAGGCAAATCCTTCCATGATAAGTCTCAGGGGTCTCAACCTGAGTCCAGTTCTGCTCCCTCCAGTCCTGGAACTTTGCATGCAAAGGCCACTCATTCAGTTCTACAAGGTTCTGAAGAAAAGGTTAAGAGGACATCCTGCATGTATGGGGCAAACTGCTACAGGTAAAATAAAATTACAGGTAGCCTATTTTTTACATTATTTACATTATTTCAATAGCATGTAGCTATGTAGATATATGCTATCGTGTGTTAAAAGCCTAATAAAACACATTGGCGTAAAGGTTAGGAGCTTTATCATGTGTCTGCTCGTTGCACCCTCTCAG